GAAAACCACAGCTACCTCACAGGGCCTCCTGAGTACTGTTTCCTGTAGCTGTTGTCATTGTTCTCCCCCTCATCCCTCTGAGGAAGAACCATTCACGAGCACCCTCCAGTTACTTTCTTTTCTCGAACCTCATTTCCACCCTGTGATGCCCGCGCTACAGGCTCAGCATCCCTTTATTTTCCAGATAAGGAAACAGAGACCAAGAGTGGGCAGTGACTCCCCAGGGCCCCAAAAGAGAGGGCACTTCCTCCCCCTCCTGGAGGCTCTGTCTCGGCTGCCTTCAGCCCACATCCCAGCACCACCACCCATCAGGGTCTTGTTCTCTGGAGTCTCTGAGTGTCTAGGTCTCTGGCCTTGCAGTGTCGTGATGGGAAAGGGACAGGGCATTTTAGAAGACCTGGTTAAGTGGCACCGGCGTATCTGAGCCCCGACTGTAGTCTCTGCCACACAAACTGGGTTTGCACCTTGCCAAATCCATGGTTTGGCCTCGCCAGTGATCCCCCAGGGGAGTTCCGTGCACAGAACTCTCTCTTCCTCCACTCAGGATGTGGCCTCCTGAGGCGACATCTCTGACGGATATGGCAGGGTTTTCCAGAATCCTGGGTGGGGTGACATGTTGCCTTCTCATTTGCATGGAGGTTTCTGAGATCTGGTCAGGGAGGATCCCCTAGGAATGCATGGATCCCCCAGATACTTGTCATGAGCCTTTGTCACTGCTAATTGGTGAGAATCCTGTGACATGACCATTTTCAGATGTCTACAAAGGGCAGAGCGGGGAGTCCCAGCAAGCCATACATCTGTCCTGAGTTTGCCCATTGGCACCCATAGCTGTGCAGTCTACTGGACTCCCTGGCACATGGCCTTCCTCTGTTGTGGTTCCCTCTTTCCCCCAGTGTGGACTGCAGTCCCTGCCCATGGAGGTGCGCTGCAGACAGAAGCAGCAGCAGAGGCCTGGCTTCCTGAGGATTTTCTCCCAGTTTGAGGAAGGAAGAAAGTCCCATCTACAATGACCATCCCCCAGCCTGGAGGAAGCTCCATGCCAGCAGCATGGACCAGCAAGGGAGCCAGAGTCCTGCTAATGCTGCAGCTCATCACCCTCACTGAGAAGCCCAGCAGCCCAGCAGCCATTGGCGCATCCCATTTCCAGGGCCTCCTGCCCCCGTGCTCCCACGCGCCCATGGACCCACACACCTCTCCTCCTGTTTGCCCAAAGTAGGCCTGGAGGGAATTTTTCAAGTCCACTTTTTGTAGATAAGTCAAAACATTACAAAATAACCACTGCACACTGGGTCCAATGCCTTTCCAAACTCACTCTTTTCTCTGACCCTTAAACACTTGTCCCGCATCTCCCAGACTCCACTGTACCTTGATCA